GGTCTGCCTCCATCTTACTCTTCACCAGCATGTCATCCACGTACACCTCCATATTTCTCCCCAGTTGATCCTTGAAAATTTGGTCGACCAATCGCTGATAGGTGGCTCCCGCATTCTTTAGCCCAAACGGCATGACTACATAGCAATAGGTGCCTTTGCTGGTTATGAAGCTCACTCTTTTCCAATCTTCTTTCGCTAGGGGAATCTGATGATACCCCTGCGAGGCGTCCATCAAGCTTAGCAATTCGCATCCCGCTGTAGAGTCTACCAGCTGGTCGATCCTTGGTAGCGGGTATAGATCTTTTGGGCAAGCCTTATTCAGGTCACGAAAATCAATGCACATTCTCCACTTTCCTCCCGCTTTGGACACCATTACAGTGTTAGATAACCACTCGGGGAATTGAATCTTCCGGATGTGCCCAGCGTTCATCAGCTTGTCGACCTCCTGCTCGATGATTTTGTCCATTTCTGCTCCATGATGCCTTCTCTTTTGCTTCACTGGTCTCACACTGAGATCAATATTAAGTCTGTGCTCGATCACCCTGGCCTCGATCCCCGTTAATTCATCCGTTGTATACGCGAAGACGTCCGTGAATTCCCTTATCAAATTGATCAACTTCGACCTGATTGGCTCACCCAAATCTTTCCCAATTCTGAATTTTCGGTCATCGCATCCCTGCACCATTTGGATTTCCTCAATCTTCTCTCCGGGCTGTATGTCTATCTTCTCCTTCCCTTTGCCTTGTCCTCCTCTCTCCTCTTTTATTCGCGACCCTCCCGGTCGATCAGGCCTCACTTCCTTACCTTTCGACTGCCTTTCCGCCATATGTTTGTTGTTACTGACTGTGGTCTGATAGCAACTCCTCGATGTGAGCTGGTCCCCTGCAATCTCGCCCACCTTTTCCCCCACAGGATATTTGATCGTCATGTGGTAAGTAGACACGACCGCCTGGAACGCATTCAGACCCGTTCGCCCCAAAATGATATTATAAGACGATTCTGCTCCGACCACCACAAACCTGATCATTCTCACTTTCCTCGAGTCGCCCGTCCCCAATGCTACGGTCAGGCTCACTTCGCCCATATGCATTACCTCTTCACCGTTGAATCCATATAAAGCTGTCGCGACTGGTTTCAACTCCAGATTCAGGTGTTTGTTGATTTGGGCGAAACAATCATAAAACATTACGTCGACCGAGCTCCCGGTGTCGATGAATATTCTTTTCACATCAAAACCTGCCACTTCGGCTGTGATGACCAGCGCGTCGTTATGAGGTAACAAGATTCCTTCCGCATCCTCTGCTCGAAAGCTTATCACCGGCATTCGACCAGTTATCCCGACTTCCTCCCTTTTACGCTTCACCGCCCGTACATGCCCTTTTCGCACATTATTCGAATCTCCATCTGTTGGTCCTCCTGAGATCATGTAAATTGTGCCCCTCTTCACAGGCGCCTCTTCCCTCAGGTTCTCCCGACCATCGTTTGGTCGTTTCTTTCTTTCTCTCCTGGTATCATCTTCCTCATCATCGTCCCTATCACTCCTCGCCACAGAATTTTCCCTGCACCTTCTTCTTTCTTTGCCCCGCGGTCGGTCACGAATGACAAATTCCTTCAAGTGTCCCGCCCGTATGAGGCGTTCGATCTCGTCTTTCAAGTGCCTACAATCTTCTGTATTATGACCGTAATCCCTATAAAATCGACAATATTTATTCGACCTAGGTTTGGTCGGTCCTTCAAACCTGGTCGCTGGTCAGGTGACTTCTTTGCTTTCCAACTTCTCCTCTATGGCCGCCAAGACTTCGCCCATCTGGGCGTTGATGGGAGTAAAATGATTATACCTCTGACCATTTGGTAGCCTAGGTCGCCCCTGCCAGCGATCCTCTCGCCTTTCTCGGAACGAATTTTGCCCATCCCTCCTGGGCGACGGCCTCTTAAAAGATCCTCCCCTTGGGGAGTTTTTCCTAGGTGATCCCCTCCTGGGCGAGCTCATCTTTCCTTTCCTCTGCTCCGGCTTCATAACGTCCTCGAGCTTGGCAAATTCTGCTTCTGTTTCTTCTAGGTTAATGTACTTCTTGCATCGCCTGAGCACCTCATCATAAGTCCGAGCAGGTGTTTTGGCCAGCGACGTTCGACATGGTCCTGGTCGTAGACTTCTAATCAGTCCTCCTACTTTTACCTCGTCACCGGCCGTGGGCACCTCCAAACACACCTGGTTATATCGAGCAACGTACTTCCGTAAGGATTCTTTCTCGCCCTATCTCATTGCCATCAATGTAAGGTATGTTTTCTCCTGGGCGACCGCACTTGAGTATTGGTTAGTAAGTTGTCCTGCGAAATCCTCAAAGTCTCTGATCGATCTTGGAGCCAATTGGTGGAACCAGTCAAGCGCACCTCCCCGTAAGGTCGACAGGAAGGCCCTGCAGCTAACCGGGTCTGAGTATCCATGTAAGACGGACATGTTTTCAAATGCTCTGACGTGCCTCGACGGGTCGCTCGACCCATCAAAGACCAGGTTTATCTCCCGGAAACTTGCCGGTAACGGCGCAGCCAAAATCTCCCTTGAAAATGGGTGTCCTCGGGCACGTCTCTCTGGCCTCCCTTCCACCTTCTCCTGCAACTGCCTCAGCTGCTCGGCCATCCTCTCCATAGTCCTATCTCGGTACTCTCCTCCTCCACCATAACTCGACACGTCCTCCTCTTGTGTCCCCTGCACCGTTGTCGGCGCAGTGGCGGCCTGTGATGTCTGGTGAGTAACTTGTTGCACAGCTTGTGTCGCCGCGTCGGCCACCATCCTCTGCACTTCTTCTCTCGTCATGGCCACCACTTGCTGAGCAGGGGGTTGGGGTGCTCCTCTTGTTGGAGGCATCATGGTTTGCACTATCGGCCCTGCTTGCTGCGTCATGACCGGGCCTGCTTGCAACGGAGCGGGGACTGCCGCGGGTACTTCCTTACGAGCTTCGTGCTCTCTGCTCGTGTCTGTTCCTCCTCCCAAGATCGCTGGGCCCTGGGGCATCGGCGTCGGGGTCACCGGTGTTTGCGAGGGTCCAGAGAATCCAGGTGGAGGTCCTGCTCCCATCGGTCTTGTCGTCGTCCACGCCTCGTCAAATGAAGACTGCAAATTCACTCGAGGAACTCCGTCCGCCATAGCTGAGCTCAGAACACAACTTTTCGAACAAGAGTCCCACAGACGGCGCCAATAATACAAGTCTCGCACCCGGACCGGCTGGAAATTGTTCTAAGCTTGCCTTCCTCGCCGGTTGAACGCGGAACCTGCACGAAACTCCCACACCGGAGGTGTTTTCCGGTGAAGAGCCTCCAACGCTCAAGTCAGATCTTGAGAGATGATATCAATGTATATGAGGATATATGAGCATATGAGATTGTGTCGAAAATGAGGATTCTCGCCCTTATTTGTAAGGGCGAGTTACCTGAGCTGCACGCGCGAGCAAGGCGAGTTCGGCCAGCTGTCCTCTGCTCGTCCGTACAACCGCGCGCCTCCACTATCTTCGGTGTCAGAAACGCATCACCTTTGTCAGAGAATATCAGAGTTTGTTACGGCCGTTGACCAATCATAGCCTACCACGTGTCCTTTCCTTTACGTGCTGGGGATTCCCGGGTGTGCTCTGGTATTCTATCAGTTTTGCGCGTCCGTGCTTCCTCGATCGTCTTTCCTCGACCATATCCTCGGATGGCTTGTATCTGTCGACCACTTACGATTCCCTTAACTGTCGCTATCTACTCGATGTTCTACGTGGTCGGTGTCCGGTCCTGCTCGACCACCGGTCCAGTATATAATATCCCACATCACAGCGGATCTGACCGGCGGAAAAGACCCAAAATTAACTGGCAAGGGAGCACCGGCGGTCTTCATTTGACGGGCAAGGGCGGAGACCATGCCCTTGCCGACGGTAGATCGGTAATTGTCAGGCCCTATTAATGTCGGAAGGACGGGTTAAAAAGGGCATTCTTTACCTCTGCCGATATCAAGGGGGACAAATCCGGCGAGGAGCTATGGAGGAGGGGCGGTACAGAGGCCGACGGCACCGTGGAGTTCGGGAAAGAAGCCATTAGAAGTGCTGGGATAGAAAAGCAGTCAGGTGAGAGGGGTGGTCGGCTCACTGCCGTCGACGACGGAGGCCGGCGGGCCAGCTAGGCGAGGTGGAGGCCAGAAAACCAAGATGGAAGAAACTGTAGGGGAAATGGGGAAGGGTTTCTAGAGAGAGAAATGTAGAGAGAAGGGAGAGCATTTTTTTTTTGTTAGTAGTTGCTAGGTTAGTTGTATGATTGTGCTAGGTTAGTGTCTGATGGTGCTAGGTCAGTTGTATGATTGTGCTAGGTTAGTTATCTGATGGTGCTAGGTTAGTTTTCTGATGGTGCTAGATTAGTTGTATGATTGTGCTAGGTTTTTTTTTTTTTTTTTCAAACAACACCCCAAGGGCGGGGGATTGGGCAGGATCCCCAACCTGTACATAGATCAAGACCCCAAAACAGCCCCAAATATCAAATAGCTACAGTCAACATAGTCTCACAATAAAAAAGAAAACAAAAACAGAAAAAGAAAAAGAAAATAACACAAGGTCTGTCATCGGGCTAATAGGTGCTCGGAATAAATCTATGATTTGATGAGAGCAAAATCTAATCTACTAAAACTGGAAAGATGGGTATCCAAGCTGGTCCATCTGCACCAGCGTGCGAAGACGGAGTGGAGCAGTGGTGTCGGTCTGAAACGTGTGTAGGTCCGCTGTGGTGGCGCCAAGGCTGGCAAGGTAGTCAGCAGGTTTATTCCCCTCACGAAAGATGTGCGTAATCCTGTGATGGACAGACCGCAGGAGAGCTCTAATGTGCATAAGCGGGTGCTGAATCTGCCACGAGCCCTGGTGGCCCGAGGTCGGGATGGTGACGACCGCCGCAGCGTCTAGCTCGATCAAAATATGACTGGAGAGGTGGGCAGCAAGCTGAAGGCCAATCTTTAGTGCCTGAATCTCTGCATCATAGCTCGAGGAGGCCTCTAGGGACATGTGTAAGGCGGTGATAAGGGCGCCGCTGTGGTCCCGTATCAAACCTCCTCCTCCGGAAACTCCGGTCTGACGATCGAAAGAACCAACAGTGTTCAGCTTGACCCAAGGAGAATTGGGTTGAAGCCAAACAACAACTCTGGGCTGAGGGAGCCGAACAGGTGCAAGGAGAGCCATAATGAAGCAGTGTGGTGACATGCAGCCTGTCTAGTCTCTGGCAGTGAGCCTGCCCAACGATGTGAGGATTGAAATATGTCTCTCTACCTGCAAAACAATGTGAGAAAGCAAAAAAGTAATATCCCTATGCTTTGCACTATTCCTTTCCGTCTAGGTGAACTAAAGGATCAGACAAGGAATGAGGAAGCCCACGTGTCTAAAGTGTGTTCTCTCTGAGAAAAAACTCAGGAGCTCAAAGAAACTGTCTGTGGAGGGTAGGGATATATGTTTCCATGTGGCAAAATGCTCCCACACTCTCCTCACAATCTCACTCTCTAGAAAAAGGTAGGTAAGGTCTCGGTCTCATGGCTTCCAGTCTCAGAACAACACACACACCGGAAGAGGAAGGAGAACCCCCTCGCATGTAAAACAGTGTCCACGGGTATCCGGCGCAAGAGGAGGTGCCAAAGGAGTACCGAAATGGTAGGGGTGAAAAGATCGCTCCAGATGGCTCTGAAGAGAAGATTAGGCCGATCTCTCAGCCTGATCTGCTCCCAAGCCGAGGTAGTAGAAAACACACCCGATGATGTAAGTCTCCACCTCATGCCATCCGAACCATCTCCCGAGATGGGTATCTGCTGGATCTGATCTAATAACTGCTCGCTAAAACCCGCCCCGGAGCCCAGCTCTCTATCAAGCTTCCTCCTATCCCACGACGCGTCCGTCCACAGATCGCTCACAAGCAGGTAAAGGGAATGCGACACCTGCCTATCACTAGACAACGGCCTATCACCTAACCACCACTCATCCCAAAAACTAACATACCTCACCCAAAACCCAAAAGATGTGATCCTGGGAGTGCCTACCGACCCTAGTGAGGCGCCGCCACTGTCTGCTATCATAACTAACCACCGTAACCCAACAAGGGTGGTTGGCACGTCTAGAGCAGTACCTGCCGCGAAGGTACTGGACCCAAAGCGACTTTCCTTACCTGAAGCGCCACCACAACTTGTATGAGAAGGCAGTAAAAATATCCCTGAGGCGGCGGATGCCAAGGCCACCCTCAGAGAAAGGCCGGCATATAGAGTCCCAACTCACCCAATGAATACGTCTCCCGCTCCTGGAACCATCCTCATAACCCCAAAAATAACGAGCCATAATCTGGTCAATCTTATCAAGAGTAGACCTAGGGGGTCGAGGACCATAAGAAAATGAAGCGGAAGGGAGCTAAGGGTGCTCCTGATCAGCGCGAGCCGACCACCAAAAGAAAGATGTCTATGCGACCAACCCAAAATCCTATCGATCATCCTCTGTCTGATGTCCGCAAAGAGAGCTCTCGCGAGGTGACCCTTATATAAAGGGGCACCAAGGTAGGTAATGGGAAGGTCGCCGCGTGTAAAGCCAGTAATCTCGTGGATCCGCTGAGCCCACCTGTCCGTGCTGGAGGAGGAGAGGGTGAAGGTGCTCTTCT